AGTTGAGTTCTCAAATTTTTGTTTCTTTCCACTCCGCCACGTATTCAGTTCTCAAATTTTTCAAATTTAAAGTTGATTTCTGTCCTTTACTTTTTCTTTGTACTTTATGCATCACAGGGTCGAAATTCCTGGCATAGTTGAGTCCGGCATGAATGAGCGTTCAGTAACGTCACTAACGTGGAAAACCCAGACTAATTGCCCAGACCGCTGTGTTGAAAATAGAAAATCCAGTAACTTCGCTGTAGTTAGAAAGATAGCGTTAGCGTAATTGTACACCGAGCAACCGATATTTTCATTCGTTCTGCTATTTCTGTTCACTGCGCATCAAAAAAAAAAAGGCATGAAAGCGTAATGACGACTGGTTGTATAAGTTTTCATTCACATTTTCACGCAAAACAAACTCTTTTTTTTGCAGTTTGTGCAAAAAAAGAAAAAAAAACATAGGTCTACATCCTGTTTCGTTACGTATCGTGAATTTTTTTATTCACGCAAATACATACATATATAAGTTGCCAGTGGCAAGAAGCTTTTTCTGGTGTCTTTTTTATGCTTTCTTTTGGTCTCGCTTTCCACCACTGTTCTGCAGCCACCACTATATCAAAAATAACTGCCGATTCTCAATTCCTTTAAACTAGCAGACAAATTTTCAAAATTATTTTTGTAACGAAATCATATTACCATTGTTGTTATTATTATTGACATTTTATTGTTATTGTTGTTATTATTGTTATTATTACTGTTGTTATTATCGTTATTATTATTGTTTAAAAATCTCATCCAAACCCTCAGCGAAGTCTATACGGAAACAAAGAAATATCATCTGTAGGCAACGATCCATATCACTTTTTCGGCAATTTTTACGTCTAACATTTCTAGAATCCTTGTCGGAAGGAAACTCCCTATCGTGGCCAAGAACTGGCAGCTTTCGATGACGTAAGCTACTAAAGGAGCATAACCCATGATGTTTCGAAACGACTAAGAGTTGCCAAGTAATTCCGTGGGAAGAAACTTTTAGCTGGTAATCCCTTCCGATAAGCAGGCTAGTTGTCATACGATCCAGCATTGATCAAAGTAAAATTTGAAAATTTACTAAATGAATACCTGGCAAGTGTGCCGTTGCATGAATTGCAGCTGTTTTTCTAAGGTAGAATTGTTGCATTTTGTAATCAACAGCTGGAACAAATTAGGTTTTGAATTCCCAGACACTTCTATCTACGCTGTAAACTTCTGCAAAAGCTAAATCGTTTCTGCAAAATTAAAAAAGTGCGAAAACGTTTTTTTTTTTTGGTATTTCCTCCGGAATGTTAAGGACCCGTCTGGACGGAGAAATGCACTTTTCCATTTTAGTTATCTGAGTAAATAGATTGGAGAGGAGAAATCGGAGATGCCGAAAGGCTGTTAGTGTACTCTAGTGATGGTATTCGAGGGTAAGCATGTCGCTCATCGGATTGGTAAACATTATTATTCACGGATTTATTGCAAGTAAACGCACTTTTTGGGAGTCGCTCGTTGCGTTTTTAGAGTGCTTTTTTTCTAAGCTAAAGGATTTTAAGATTGCTGAGGCGTATCTGCCTCACAGATTTCTAGTAATATTTATTTTTAAAACAGATGTATTGACGAACTATGTTCAGTGAATTTTAATTTCAAAATACATAATCTCTGCCTTCGCTTCATCGCTCCACCTCCATCACAGTCAGCGCTCGCTCTTCAGCTTTCGTCAGCGGCCATGATTTGCATTCGCTCGTCAGTGTTTTCAGCAGAGTGGTGCTGAAAGGAGGAGAAGGGTTAGAGACGGCCCTTCCGGTTCTACACTTCGAGGACATCGGTGATGCTATGAAATTTGCGCCAACTTTTATAATAAACCGAAATGCACAACCGCTATAACTATTGTTTTTGACAATTAAATATTTTTTCAAAGTCTGCCGTGATGTTTCTGTCGAGAATTATTTTTGGTTTCAAATGTTCCATATTCCCTTAAAAAAAGTGAGAACTTGTTCGAAATCCGAGTAATCCAGTTCTCAGATGAAAGGCTTGCAAGTTAAATGAGGCGTGGGTGAAGGTGCGAACCCTTCAAATAAGTTTGTTTCGAGAACTGGCTAGAAAAACAAGCTGGAGTTGGTTTCAGCTCCGAGCGTACTGAGCATTCCAGTACTGAATGCCGTTAAAAATCCACCATTTATAAACGAGGCAGATTTCCCAAATACCATAGATATTCCGCAGTGTTTTAAAGTGAATCTGACGTTATAAACTGCTATATACTTACCTTCTTATCCTTACCACGTTGCGGTACACCAGTACTCATGAATACCTTCAGTATTTGAATCTGTAAAAAAGCTCCATGACTGTGGAAATTTCGAGAGTTGCGTATAGAAAAAAATCTAGGAATTCGTGCTCGTAAAAAGCATTTCATAAAAGTATTACGCTAAGTATTACGCTTTTAAGTATTACGCTTATAAAAAACTTCAAGATTCGTGGCTCACAAAAAAGCCTCTGCACTAGATTCTAAAGTAAAATTCAAAGCAATAAGCACTTCTTTTTTTTGTGGTTTACTTGTTCATTGATTTTTTTTTCTACTTGTGCTGTTGACATTCGAAGCTAAGAATTTAAAATGTACTTCGTATACAAGTCCGGAGTTAATTTCTTATTGGGATACAAACAAACACCGGAAATAGTTATGCCTAGGCCAAACCGCATGTCTCTAGTTGGTATCCGCTGCTCATCACACTGCATACACGGTCCATTTTTGGCAGCCGCCTAACTTTTTTCTTTTCTTTTTTAAGCAAGTAATTCCAAATAAGTAGTTTGCAGCAGTGCGTAGTTAGTGTAGTGATTTGTGGAATTGAAGTACTTGGCTTATGCGCGCTGCTCTTCTCCCTCACCTCCTCTATCCTCAGCACTTAACTCATCGGATATTCTTACAAAATTTTCAGGTATTTACATATCCATCGACAACGCTACCGCCACCGCCTCCGCCTCCGCCGCAGCCGCCACCACCACCGTACTTCTGCTACCACTACTTCTGTCATCCGGCAATGATGTACACAAATCCTGTATATGCACCAACCATTGCCGCAACTGCTCCATTTCCGGATTATCCCAGCTATTACCAGTACAACACTAGCACACAAGACGGTGATTTCTTTTTTTCAACTTTTAATTTCTTTTGAAAATGCTACGCAAGATTCTAGTATAAAAGTTTTAGCTGATTGATTTTTATATGCTGAATTTCAGTGTCCAAATAAATTTGTCAGGATCGCCAGCAGACTGACCACCAGACGATGCAGCATTCATCAAAGTAACTGGAAAAGCTACTGTTTGCATAGCTGGAGAACCAAATTGTGAGCTGCAGCTGGCCAAAGTATCAAAGCAGTGTTTGCTTATTTTGATCAGCTGTCATTTCACTGTAGTGCTTCAGTCCGCACAGAACTTCAGACTACAGGTATTGTGCAGAATTCGTTCAACTGATTTTATCATAGCCTCAAGCGAGGATCCAAATATTATTCGCATCTTTTAGGATAAACAGCGGGCTTACTGTGAATGCTACCTGTACCAAATTTATAAGTGATCAACAAATGTAGACAATACCTGAAGCGCTACCCTGTAGATTATCCGAGTGCGCTTTACATTCTGTGTCTTTTATACGTTATCTGCGCTAGTCTCTTCATGCAATTGTGATAGGTTGAACGCACTTCCTGTAGTAGGTATATGTATGCAATCTTTGAAATGATTGTCTCTGCTTATTTCCCGGATAATCATTGGCTTATTATCAAACATTTTTTAGCAAATCTTCATAAATTTCTTTCATAGATACATGAAATTTTCTACTTAATTCAACTTCAGTAACTTCAAATTCCGCAAGACTTTTAAATATCCATTCCAGAGAAAGTTCATGCCAAAGGCTAACTGTACTACTGTTATTCAGCAGAACAAAAACTTTATCTGTACTTCTGTACTCGAATAATTTCCGTGAAATTCAGATCGCGCAATGATGGGCGGCTATTATGGTGGTGCATATCCAGGCCAAAATACAACATACCGAAGTTATCAACAACCTGGTTCAAGCTCCTCGTTCTATCGACGATCGAGGTATAAGCTAATTAGGGCAACTTGTTACGAACAAAATCTCAAAAGTATTGATTCAAAATAATTTAAACCCCTATGAATCTGGTGCTGAAAGCAATTTAGCAGCCGATGTACCTACGACAGTAAGCCAAATTATGTTGCAAATTTTTTAACTTCTAAGTTATCTTGCAAAAATCTTGTGTTGCTACTCAATTCAGACGAAGTAATTTAATGCCAACAAGACCAAAGCTTCCCAGATAGTTAGTGTGAGTATCCCACGCTAATGATGTTACTGAGTTGCTGCTCCTGCTTTGTCTCCTTCGATCCTGAGCTTCATGCGTTCAGTTAGTACGCAAGTCCTGTTCGATTTATGTGCGCTACTTCTTTTCAGATAGGCCGAGTGGAGCGTTTACTTCCTCGAGGGTACCATTCACTAATATTTGATGTCTGCCGATTTATTTTGATAGTTTTTTAAATTATCTGGATTTCAGAACTGCACCATCTCGAACTATATCGCCAACACCTTACAAAATAACGTGCAATAAATATAATCGCGCTTATACGGCAGAACCATACGTTTTTGATCCTCGAGAATATAGGTTAGTGCTGGGTTTCTTCATTTAAGCCAGATAAGATATCATTCAGGAAGAAACCAATTTCTGAATCTCAATCTTTTGATGCAAAATCAATAAGTACAACCCATTGGCAAAATGCACAAAGGGTAACTAGAGTTCATTTGCAAGCAAGTTTAGTGTGTCTTAAGATCCTTTCATTTTATTGGTAATCTTTTTCATTCAATATCATGAGGGTAGCTTTCAACAATCCGCATTGTCCATCTTTTGTCTCCCACTTTTGTCACATGATTATTACGTGTCTTAAAAAACACTGCTCAATTCAGGAGCTTTTCTGGACCGTGGAAAGATGCCAGGAATTGGCCAATGTATCGGAAGCGAAAAGAGCCAACATCGCGCATGTACATGCACCAGGTTCCAAAATCATCAACTTTTAAATTCCTTACAAAATACCTCCAATATTTATTACAGTAATTAATACATTTACTGCAGGAATCGGAATTTGGCGGTAGTCCAATCGATCGTCAACCGCGGTATTATCAAGGATTTTACTCAGGTGAATACAAGTCAACAGTTGTATTTCAAACTGTTGCTCAAATTTTAGCTAAAAGATTGTGGTTGTCTTCCAAACAAAAAATTCTTTCACAAAACCATTGAATGAAATTTGTTGATGGTATTTTCTAATGTTTTTCTAGCGGTCACGTAGTTTTAATAGTATTTCCTATTACTTCGCTGGTGGTCATTTATCAGCAGTACTCTCTCCGAAATAGTTTACAGATATGCAGGAGCCGGCTGCGCTGAGGCGAGTAAGGCCGTATTATGCACCAAGCTATGTTACTTACCCACCGAGTATTTTGAATCCAAGCCGAACAAGGCAAAAACACGAGGAGCGATATTCTCTTGTAATGAGAATCATTATAAAAGCAATTGAGTTGGTGTGTATTTTTCTTTTTTATCTATTTTTTAGTTATTCATTCCTATGACATACCTTTTAAAAATTTGATTTCCCTACGTTTAGTTGGCCAGGGGTCAAAGGCATCCATCCGCGCATTATTTTGAAGAGTACTTAAAGAAGAAATTTTATAGAAAGTTCACTTTACTAAGCCGTATTTCGTATATTTGTTAAGGAATGATAGCTGAGTCGAGTTCTAGGATTTTATGCAGCCATCAATCCTCAGTTCGTTGGCTTTGAAATCCATCAGTCCTTGAACAATTCAAATAAAATTACGTGGATTGGAAAGGCTCAAAATGAGATACTTCGCAAATTTCATTTCTGCGCTTTTTAAATGTTTTCCGAGAATCAATCTGCCCGCAGTTTACTGGACTCAGTAAAGTTTTTAATTATACCGGGTAGATTATCTTAAACGCGAGGCTTCAAATTGTGTGTTTTTTCTGAACTGGACGATAATGCCCTTAAGTTAACAATACTGCTAACAAACTGCGAAAAACTTTGATCGGTCGTAATCCCAATTTTAGCTGCTTGGTGCTGCTGTTATTGGATTAGTTCTTGCTCCGCTTCGTGATATGTCTTTCTACGCTTTTGTCAAAATGACTCAAACTGAGTGGCAAGGCTTGGTACTCGGAATCGCCACCACCTTCTCATCCTTGTGCCTTATCATCCTGCTTAGCTCTTGCATTGGTCATCGATATCCATTGTGGCGGAGAATTGTAAGTTTTCTCACTTCTCCATTTTCCGGACCACACTAAGAATCAACTGCTGGTAAATTTTCTATAGTCGTATGTTGCCTATTTTTCGACTCAGTGAAATCAATTTCCCTAGAATTTAGATGGCAACTTGTTACTGGTGCATCTAGAGAGTCAAAGAGTTTCTTCAATTTGTTTAACCAGTAATTTTCAAGAGAATTCTTTGGTTCCCTTTGGATCGTTTCGGAAGAGCTAGGTCATTTGGTGGTTGCTGATGGCAAATCATTATTATTCAAAATATTCCCGTATGCCATCGCTTCTTAAACAAAGTGAACTGTGGAAAGGGATTTAGCATTTATTTCGAATTTCGTGGGTTTTGCAAGAATATGTTCCAGGATTATCTGATCAGTTTAGTTGGTTCGGTTGGTTATTTGGTGGCCGGTGCTGTTGAGGCCTATTACGCTGCGTGCTATCCGCCTTACGGTGAAAAAATCGGGAAAGTATGCTATAGGTTAGAATGGATT